ATTGTTTTTTTACTCTTTAAAATTGTTATATGATATGAATATTTCCAGTTTGAAGATATTGACCTGATTGATCTAGTCTAGTTGATCTAAATTTACTCAACTACATGCAATAAATTTGCGTTTTCTTTCATTTTGATTTCATCGATGCGTCATTAGTATGTGTATGAGGATTCAATAATATCATTAATGCTATTTTATATATATACATACATAAAATAATAAACTGTTACAAACTTATTTCGAAAACGGAATATGCATTTAATTCTCCTCTGTACGTTTTAAATCATTAATATTGCATTAGTATTCAATTGCAGTATTGATCTTGCGCAGCTTGTTAAGTTTATTTAAATTAAAAATATATATTTTTGGTTTTCAAGTTAATTCTATTTTTATATAATTTTAAATATTATATAAAAATTTGAATTATTATTATTAAATTTTATTGCACTTATATTTGGTTAATTGTGTGTAGCCACAATTGACCAAATAATTCTAATAATATTAAATAAAATATCATTTAAAATAAAAAAGTGAGAAAAACAACGGAAAATATTTCACATTTTTTGCATTATAATATCTATCAGTAATAAATGTAACGCCCTTGTCTTAATGCACATTATATAGTAAATTAAATATTTATTAATACAATGTTTGAGTTAAAGGTGCTTATATTTGTGTAATTAAATAAATACCTAAAACAGGTTGTATCTGCTAAATATGATCACGTATAACACCTCGATTTTTCCCATTTTTTTTAGCATATCATCGAACGATGTAGTTGTACGCATCAAGGTTGTTGGAGAAACGTGAGAATTTTTCCTCGAGGAATCTTATCTCGCGAAGAGAAACTCGGTCCGCCTCGGGGACGCGGCGCAGTCTGTAATCATGCGTTGTCCACGATGCTTATTATCTCGATATTGTGCCGAGTGTATAATAGGATTACAGATCTATCCAGCGTAAATACTAATTGCTTAGAATCCAGCACGGCGACGTAAGTGGCGGCCGTAAATTGTCCGGCAGCGCCTCCCCTTTACCGCGCTTATAAATCCTCGTCGTCAGAGAATAACCATAGGAAAGGAGACAAGAGATGCGATCATCATACTATGTGTCCCAGGTGGTCCACAATGTCAATATGCATTGTATAACGTAAACCGGCAACTGTTTACGACAATTATGGCCAATAGTGAATTGCCAAGTCGTAAATAAGTTTATGGGGAACTTTCAACGTTGACGGTATAGAAATCTCGATTGATTAAATCAGAAGAGCCATCATTTATTAACAATTCTATCATTAAATAGATAATTCTGGCCTAATTGATCTTGATTACAAGTGAAGAAACATTAATCTTGCAGACCAAATTATTCTTCTGTTCCATATCGCTTATAACTTATATATATATATGTCGAACGCTCTATAAATAAAATTAATGTACCGTGCAATATCTACGAGCGATTAAAATTTGATCGATAATTCCATGTGATAATCCAATTGGGACCTAACGACTAATGTTCCGCAGTAAAAACAACGGGATCGTGTTACTTTTATTCTCGATCGGTAAAAGCCGGAAATTTTGCCCTTCGTAAAAATGTTAGCGGCGCGAGTAATCGCGAAGGAGTAGCCACAGATAAACGACGTCTTTCGGCACCGGTCCGATGCCGATAGCCGCCATTGCAAATTTTATTGCACATTATTCGCGAGGTCAGCCCGATTGAGATCATCCTGCCTGCCGTTAACTAACGTTTTACGACAGTCATCAGGGTAGATTACAAAGTGGTAGCTATCAAGGTTTTATGTAATTTTTCGAAGCGCCGGCATATTTATACGCTCGCTAAGAAAAATCATTTTCGGTTTTATGACACGCGGAGCGATACTAAAAAACTAATTGCTGAATAACTGAAATAACGCTCGTACACTTGGTTAAAATGTAGAAAAAAGAAATTGCGAGTGTGGCGAAGGCGCAAGAACATTAACACTCTGCCTAATTTCTAGTAAAATTTATGATTTTTAGAGAGAGATCTTTCTCTCTCTCTCTCTCTAAAAATATACTAAATATACTTCTTTTAAACGAGATTCAACCTTATTATAAAAATAGTAGTGTAACAGCTTTATTCTTATTTTATTTATAAAATAGATTTTCGTGTAATATTCTCTTGTGGTAAAATTAATATGATTTCGTCAATGACATCACACTATTTATACAACTTTATTAATCTATCAACTTGTCTTTATATCTTATGCTTATTTTTATTCACGTATGTCAATCATAATCAACGCATGCATATATGTTGATTAAAATAAATATTCTCTGAAATTATATGTTTGTATATATCTATTAATATCTTTTTTCACCAATTATTACAAATAAATGCGATAATATAAAAAAAATATATATTACTGCGTCGCAATCATCTCGTCGCAATATTTTTTTTTCAAACGCGGAAATCTGATTCGACATAAATGAGCGCTGCAAATTCCTCGCTACTTGACTCGTATATCGCGACTCCGCGATTTTATGCAGAAATAGTCACGAGCGGTATCGAATTCGCACAACGGCGACGTCCTAAATCTCTATCCACTTTTGAGAGCATACAAAGCCCTATCTGAACCTCGCCGACACCGTGCATATAATGCAATTTTGATTTATCTGTCGTTAGGTGACTGTGGTTCTTCCGCGCGCGTGTATATATGCGTATGCCTACATGAATGCTTATAACCGGAAAGAGGGAGTGCGTAGCTAGAAGGGATTGGAAGCAGAACACTGGAAACGCAACTCTACAATGCTGGGCTGCGCGGATTGAGGGCACCCGGGTGTATGATAATCATAAAGGAATAGCGAGGACACGCGTCGTCTCTCCTTCAGGGGTTTTCGTCGTTCCTCCTCCTGATTCTTGTGTATCTTAGCCTCGACCCTTTCTGAATACGTCGACCTAAAATCGCTTCTCGAGACTCAACCGCTCGTTAAAGCTCGCGTGTGTTCAACACGTCGCTGCATTTTAACCCTATCGCGCACTAGACCAGCCCTTCCTTTCTCCCTTCCCTTCCCTTCGTTTCGCTTCCTTGTCTTCCTTCGTTTTCGCTATTCACCGACCTGATATAATATATCTGACTTGATTAAAATTAGAAAGCTTTAATTAGTGAATAGCGTACACAAAAGTTCGAAAACTGATTCTATTTCAAATTTTTCTTTAATTGTGTATTTTTTATTTAAATACTGTGAGAAACGATTTAATCTCTTTTCGTTAAAATATTTATAAAAAGGATTAAATCTCTCTTTATATGTTCCTTAGATCCAACATTTGGCTTCGTGATTGTTTCGTAACCATGAATGATGTCAAATATATTTTTTTTGTTTCTATTCCTGTCAAAAAGCGCTGGATTTATTAACAGAAAATAACGCGTCAAATTGCCGGCTGGTGTAGTTTGGCAATGCAGGTTTTTCTTCAACTTCCGCGATCAATTACACGTCGGAGATTGCAGCTGGGCGCGTAGTCAAGCTAATATGCGAGCGCGGAAATGGTCCCGGGAGAAATTTGTAGGCGCCGCCGTCAACGCCTGAACGAAATTCTTTCCGACCAAGCTTCGAAAAGGCATTGCAGTAACTTTCACCCCGCGCCTACATCCCACGTATAAGCGGCGACAGAGTGACAAAAAATACGAATGTAATTGAAGCTATAAAAATGTATGTCTAGAATGTATATATATGTAAATCGGGCGGTTTAGGAACGCTATAAGACCAAGGAAATTGTCATGGAAATGATAAAATTTACGCTACCTTTAAAACATAAGAAGTGTTCGTTATTATTCAGGGAATTGGATTATTATTATATTAAAGTTAATCAAGAGTGGCGATGGAAATAGTTTATATCAAAGATTTTAAATCGCAAATTTGAGATCTATATATAAATATTAACATTAACAACACACATAATTAGATAATTATACATAAAACATCAAAAGATATCTTTCATTATACGTATGAAAAATAGTAAAACTACTTTCCAAACAATAATATAAAATGTAATATTTTTTCAAAATTTATATCGAAAAAATATTAAAAAGATATTTATAAAATGTCAAATTCGTAGCTTGTTACGAAAGGTTTATCAAGAACTATGCCATATTTGTGCAACATACACACACATTGACGGGATCTCCTAAATCAATTAGCACGAGAACGGTTTAATTCTACGAGCGTGCTACGGTATGTTCCTGGACTTAACATGCCGGCCGAAACCATCCCATCCATCTAGCGGGGTTTTCTGGGGTTTACGGCAACAACGATCTTCCGCCCCCTACACATACACGTCGCGGGCGCTTCCACCATCGTTATTAATCTTTTCAAAGAGATTTTTGTTCTTCGTTTAAAATTTATAAATAATGTATTAGACTTACTAATTATGTCTCTAAAAAACACGACTTGAAATGATATAACAGATTTGGTTACAACGTTTCAATATAAATAAAGTCGCGCTTTTAAATTGGAAATTTTATTTTATCTGAGGGCAAAGAATTAAAATTTCTGTCTATATTCTCTATTGATTTTATATCATTTGATAATCAATTGTTATTTAATTTAATTGCCTTATTTGATTCTTATTATACTTCATTAATTCTTATTTTGTACATATGCTGACATTTCATTATAAATAAAAAGAAATCTTTTTAAAGAAATTTTGTTTGCCATTAATTTTTCCGAAAGAAAGCCATCTTGACAAGCAGCTAGCATAATTTCACGGCAACAATTGCGCACCGATGTGACAATTCGAAATGCGCTCGCTGCGAGGTTAAAGAGAACATGCAAAAGGTGCCGAGATGCAAAACTGGCTTCTGCTTGTGGCGAGTCGCGCCTCCGCGAGAGGTTGTACCGGATGTGTCACGCGTAAATATCCGCGCGCGTTGTAGCCGGCCTTAATTGGCGCGAGTTCTGTGGGGGATGGGGGAGAATTTACCCGTGGCAAGAAACCGCGGTCCAAAATCGTAAATACTTTCTCGCACTCACCTATATTTCGCGCGACGACGGCGCAGCCGTTGGTTAAGAGCCATGCAAGTAGCAGCCCGACCAGGATCGGCGATCCTTTCCGTCGACCCTTGCGGCACTCCATCGTGAGGTTCCGAGCTCCGACTACGCCTGAAAGCAGAAAAAGGAATGATCACGTGCCGTCCATTGGCGTGCTGCTCCCAATGTGCTTGCATGTCGCGAGAACTACGCGCTCACCCCGAAGTGCATCGCAATTTCCGAGAATGGATGCGTTCAATATACTGGGATCGGACGCCGCGGTGTTACTTTATTGCATTTACTTAAATCTTATACTTTGCCAAGAGAGACCATTCTTTTTCTCGCGCAGAAACGCGTATCGACTTATAGTCGCGATTACATGGAAATCGCGATGCTCGTGGCCAGTGAAAACGAATTCGAGATGCATGCGGTGCATGTCATAAATAGATAAAAGAGATATATTAAAATATATCTATATTTAATCTATAAATAACTAAATATATCTTATATATATACTTGTTTTATATGCTCGCATATTTTATCTATATTTTAATCAATGATATATTAAAATATATCTATATTTTAATTAATGATATATATATATATATATACACATATAATATCTTAGCATTAATATAAGACTTCAGACAGATATTATGATTTCGCTTTACAACAATGGGATTTTGTTTTTATTTTTTATTGAAGCTTATAATTAATTATAATCTTCTGTAGATTTGTTGCTATACCGAAATAATTTTGTTCGATCAATGTATGTGTGTGTGTGTTATACTTTATATTACTTTCTAAAGACATGATGCGCGCCTTGTGATTTTTAGAATCACCACATCACCACCCTATAATTCGTTTTGTTTCGCTCTGTTGCAACGTACGCTGTTTTTATTCGATGGCATCGCATTGTGTTCGCGCGGTCTACAAATTCCGAAACGCTGACGCCAAAATTATTTTTCTTTTTCGCCTTCGTTAACCCACATTCACGCGAACGTGAACGCATCCCCAACCCTTCGTTTCGCTCGACGCGCGGATTAAGCTGATTTATAGTATTTACCAACGATGCTCGCTCGATTTTTCCCGCGGCGTCGCGCATGCGCGTCATCAAGTTACTAGTTTGTCGCGAAAAAAAAAAGAAGAATAAAACGTCATGTGGAATTTGTGCGATAAAAAAGAACGACTACTGTGTCAAGTCACTCAACCAAAGAACGTTCCAAGGTATTGGCAAGATCGGATGTTGAAATCTTTAAACTCTTCGATCAGAGACACGACGTAAGGTATACCACAGAGAACACTTTCGCGGGATCTAATAATAAATGTCGATTGTTTAATTCCCAAAGTGTTCCACGTATCTACCCGTTTTTTGTCCCGACGATACATGAGAGGTAATAAGTCGCAGATTGAGAGAAATCCGCACGACCACAATCGATTAGGATTAACAGAACAATTGTCCTGTAATCCTTACTTAAATAATGGCAGCAGCAGCGCGAGAAGAAAACATTTTTAAAAAGTTAAAGATTCTTTTCGCACAATATATCTCAAAAATTTTGAGATATTTCGTATATATATTTCATCTGCAAAATGCAACTAGCAATTAAAAATGCTTAGTCTTTGAAAAGAGAAAAGAAAATGTCATATTCAATAAAATTGTGTAAATTAATATTTGAAAAAACTAATTAAATTATGAGTTTGTGTTGTGTTAATATCAATATTATATTAATATTATAATACTGATAATTAATTGTCCTCTTTTCACGTTTCAATGTCAAAATATTTTCACAGGAAAAAATGTATAATCATAATTCTATATGAAAGAAGAGATTCGGCAAGCCCTCAATACGTTTTGATATTCAGATATACAAATTGCAACTTCTACTCAAAAATTCGTCGAAAATGTTCAGGTCTCCCAGAATAAAGTTCGTAGGATTAAGCACATAGTTACCAACCATCTCGATTATGACCGAGAGAGAAATAGAGAGAGAGAGAGAGAGAGAGAGAGAGAGAGAGAGGAAGTTTATCGAGCCATGACCACCGTCGCGTGTATCACAACGGACCACTCCGCAGATTGCATCGCATCGGCCGGATTGCAGCGGCGCTTATCCGCGACTGCGGAAGAGCAGCGGCGCGACGCGGGCATCTGGAGCGTTGCCAATTCGTTTCGAGTGGACCGCGTTAATTTTTCCGACGAATCTAATTAAGTGCTCCCTCCCTCCGCCCCCGCTTCTCCTTTCCCCTTTTTACTCCCTCGCTCTTTCTCTCTCGATGCCGCCGGCATTCAAGCCTTACGACGAATGTGGAAGTCGCGCAGCAATGCGATTATCACCGAAACATCTGTAAAGTCCCGGAGTAACGACGATAATTGAATGCGTTGCTTATTCCCTTCCTTCTATTCCCTTCCGCTCCCCGTTTCGTACAACGAACAAATGCATCCTCGCGCACGTCCTATGCATTACGCATAATTAATCCGGCGATGCTATCTCATTTAACCTTGTAGCCGCGCGTTCGTCGCGCGAATAGAATCGGCGATGCGCGATTCTCCTTTTATCTGCTTTCCTTTTCCTATCGACGATGCTCCGCGATGCTGCATACGATGCGCATGCATGCACTCCCGATGCGCCGCACGCTGCGATAATCGCGATAAGCTCGATGACAACGCGATTCCCATCTCCGAGGTCGGTCGGCGCGACGAAGAGAGAGAAAGATTATTTATTAAAAAGGGAAGTCTAGGGGGCTTAGGAGCAGAGAAAAGGATGTATGTGCTTGAATACAGTCGAACGAGTAGTAATCTCCAGGCGACCATACTTTTTTTGCCTTTAGTACTATTCCGCGCTGTGGATTTTTCAGATCAATAATCGAACATCTTTGGAGAGAATTCTCGACGCATTTCGCGATATACCTTCTTCAGTTCCCCTTTTATCGAACCGAACTATCGGAATATTCTTGAGCCAATCTCTGAAAAAAATACATTTTTGATTGACGTTACATATTGGCCGTCCAAATTGCATACCAAAACAAGATTGATAAAAGTAGAAGTTAAACGAATTTTTTTCTAGAAAAAATATCTATTATGTGAGAAATCTGACTTTCAAGATGTGTGATAATTTTTTAACTTTATTTCATTACAATTAAATATCTTTAAATTATACATTTTTTTATAACTTTTAAAACTTCAAATAATATTGCATTCTTGAAGCATCATTAGCTGACAAGAAGTCTATTAAACTTCAATTTCAAAAGCTTAAAATACTTTCAAAAATATTTCCGTGATCCAATATTAATCAAGGCGAATTTTATTATAGTGCATTTGATTCACAGAGTCTATTTGATTTATTCTAGTTCAGTACAAAGATTTATAGCGCTACAATTACCTATTTTTTTTGTACCCAGTATTAACTCTCGTAGCTGGCAAGCTCATAAATCTTCGAGGACTTTCCTCTTCTTTTTCATTGCACGGTAAAATTAATTAAAAGTGATACAATGGATTGTTAAAGAGATATAACTTGACTTCGTCTTCATTTCAACACTGCGTTTTATAACTGCTTCAAAATGTCCAATACAAAATTTTTGGTATTTATTTGGAAGTTAAAGATGTATTAGTGAGTAACATTCTGTTTTACCGAAATATAATTATTTGGAAAACATCCAATTCCATGATTAAAAACCATCCGACACTACCTATCTTGATTTAGCAAGTATGTTTTTCCCGTTACTTATTTACGCGCTGTTCTTATTCAATCTAATACTGCAATAAAATATTTTTATTTTTCATGGAATAATCAAAATAAATACCGCCCACAAGAGTTCGTAAATATTCCACTTCACAAATAAAACCGCTACGATCTAAAATATAGTTGACAAATTTTTGATTTCACTAATAATAATTTTCTTTTTCAATGATTCTCTCAATTTTCCTAATAAAGATGCTGCTTATTCTATTTTTATTTCAGTATTAGTACAGGATTCCTATAAGATAGTATGATAAAATGTCGAAAATAATTTTCCACTATTTAATTATATTTTGTCGAGTATATAAATAGTGTTTTTTTCTTAAATTCATTTTATATTTAGTAGTTTTTTTCATTTTTGTAAAGCTTTAATGAAAGAAGAAAATATATCGCCAATACTTAGAATGTAATAAATAATTCAATAATTTTCACATACTGTCGGACTGTGTGTCAGAGCGGGAGAAGTGACGCGCCGCCGCCGTCGCGGCCGTTCGGATGAAAACATAAATCTACATATTATTAAAGCAGCGGCGATCAAAGCGATCGAAATAATGCAGATTATCAGAAAACGCCGGTGCCGCGGCAATTTCTGCAGGCACTTAAAATCATTTCGACGCCTCTTGTCGATGAATATTGAACAGCCACGCACCTGCCGGTCGCCTCCTCCTTTTCCAATCGTTCCCTCTTTCTATCTCTCCTACCATCCCCACTTTTCGTTTCGCAATGATTTCAAGCACGAATTCGTTCATCATCAACGACGCCCGCGCGGAATCACGCTCGCAACGAATTGAACGGGAGAGTTATGAGCAATAAACAGGAGGGAAAGGCTCGGGAAAAGGGGGAGAAATAAAAATTATTTGTCGAAAATCATATTATCGGATCGGTGGAAGTACAGTGTATGCGACCGCGATCTCGCGAGTTTCAATTTTATCTCCAAGCGTATTGTAATGTACATCGCGCAAAGCCCGGGGCTCCGAACGGGGCACAATTAAAAATAATTGACATTGACAACGAGTCGATGTTAGGGGCCGGGAGCGATCACACGGGAAATTAACTCGCAATTTTCCCCGCGAAAAATCCATCGCGAATCTGGTTCATCAAAAATGAGAGCGGAGTCTGCAAGAATGCGCACAGTTTAGCTAACATTTATAAGTTCCGTCGTTAATTCTTGAGAGATAATATTATAAATAACTAATCAAAAATTAAAACTTGGAAATTATATATTATCTAGATTTTGCACATTTTATTATATATCGATCTATTACAATCCTCTACGTATACTGTGTGCGTTTTACAAAACGTGTAACATTTCGCACACATTCGCGATTCGCGATCAAAATTTACGCAGCGTTCGATCTTTGCGATAACTCACTTAGAGTCGATATCAACGTCGCGACG